ATTCAAATTTTTGGTGGACGATGGTGATTTTTCAGATACGGTCGTGCATTATTACAAAACACCCTTACTCGTATAAAGAAAAAGGAACAAATCATGCATTTGCAAAATAATCAAGTGTACTGATTAGTTATACCACAACCACATACGATAGTATTTTAATCTGTTAAACTGTTTTATCGGGGGTAATTTTTAAAGAGTTTAAAACAACGGTCTGTGATATGCACAATTTTATTAGCACCCTACAATATCAAAAAAGCAGGAAAGAAGTGCTAATTATGTTTTTTAAATGGGTCTGCAATTGGTATACATTGTAATTATCTACAATTCCAGAATAATTTTTTGGATTCGCATATTAAACTAAAAGTCAAAATAATAAAATTGATAAACTGACGTACTTACATCAAAGAGTACCAGTACCAGGTATTCGCAACGGCTTCATGAACTATTGGATTAATATTGAAGTTTCTAAACACGATTACACAATTATTTAGTCAACACATTTGAGCAGGTTTCATTAGAACTAAAGTGCAAGACGATACCAAATTAAATAAAAAGACAGGTGAGTAACGTAACGTTAACGGCTAAGATACAGTTTCTTTCTTACGGGATTTCTCAGTGGCGTGGAAACATTCACTCATGAAATTTAAAGACAATAAGAACTTAATTAAAGAAACACCGACCTCACAAGACGCATTTTTTTCTTTACTGTTAATTACTAGTTAAGTAGAGCTTGTCGATATAGGCACACCTACCTAGAGATTTTATAACTGATCGTTGATAGGTACTTCGTAATTACAATTTACAATTATCAATAAACGTTCATTTCACCCCACCTTTGACCACTCGTACCATTACTACTTATGCGATTTGGGTTGTTCACTAATTGTAGCTTTTTTTCTGGTAGACAAGATAATATAGGTAGAAGCTTCGGTTTAAATTTAAAAAAAAGCGTGGCATTGTTCGTTTGCCACGCTCACTTTCATGCGAAATCGCGCCATCGATAAAAACAATGTAAATAAACATTCAGTGACCACAACTTGAGGTAAGGTGTAGTTTGGTGGTATAACTCGACGAATATAGTTCTAACTGACGTCCGAATTTGCAAAAGTACCTATCTAAAAATTATAATTGTTGATATTCGGATAAGTTGGTGAAAATATTTTCATTTTCTTGTAAGTGTTGAATTGTTTTTAAATGATCGATTATTTGTATAATCATATTAAAATGACCACAAAAAGTAAGTATTGGTCAGAAAATTGCAATAAAAAAGTGACACTTTGTGAGTGGCGACAGAAGTTACTACTTCTTTTTCTCTTACACACCTTCGCTCCCTTTTTTTACCGCGATGTATTAGAGAAATAAGTCTCTGGTAATACAAGATTATGTACAACATTATAGTTAAAAACCGGCCCGTGACGGATTTGTCAAAAAAAAGCGCGCGCTCGTGAGGTTCGAACCCGCGTCATCATAATCGATAGGCGGCGGCCTTACCAGCTGCAATACAATCACGGTTCTATTAATAAATTGTCGCTTATACTTTATAATAGCCATAAACCTCGGAAAAGCATCACGCGGTCACTCTGATGCAATTGCGCGCAGGCCTATTGAGGGCTCAGAGCAAAAGAAGAATAATAAATAAATAAATAAATAAATAGGTAAATAAATTACTAAATAAATACATAAATAAATAAATCAATTATTACACGTCATTAACAAACTCATTTTATTTGCTCTGAAGCTATTAAATACGCTTCAAATGTGCATATTAGTCAATTTCAAAGACACATCGACGATTTTATTGCGATCTTTTCAATGCGATTTAATAATGCCGAGATCTCCTTCGGCTCGCACGGAATTACTCGGGCGTGACGCATGAGATGATGTTACATACATACATATCATACAGTGCATACCGAGCGATAAGGAGTAGTCACTTCAAAAATAATAGGTAGGTATTCCTATCACCTTACCCACTAGTCAGTTGTGATGACGAAACTATGCGGGTAAGATCCCAATTACTTATACGCACTCATTTCTTTGACTGTTTGGATAGTGTATCCAACCCTCTGTTGGTATGATCTTCATATTGGCCATCGAATTTCTTCATTTTCTTTGCCACGAGCGAAACATTCGCTCTTTTTGTTCATTGTAGTTCATTATACGAGACCTAGGATTTTGTTCTGTTCTTGACATCTTGACATATAAGGAATTATATCCGATCACGATAAGGGATAGAGAGAGGGGACCATAGTTGGTAGAAATCAATGCCTTTCGTTGAGATCAACATCATTAGAATGCCATGAAGGAGAAAACCAGTTCCACCCCTCCCCAAACCCCCTCTTTTGATAAGGGGTCAGAAAGCAGAGCGGTAGTTGGTAGAAACCAGTCACTCACTGATCTCGAAAAGGAGTCGAGCGCGAAAGTAATAGTTTGTACAAACCAATTTATTTCGATGAGACCTTTCAGTACCATGAAACCACCATTGACGTTGCGCGAGACAAGAATGGGGATTTCTTCCCTTAACCAACCAGGTCATTAAAAGATTTAGCTTGAGTGAAAGTTACAACAAGTAAAAAGGTTTTCGCCCTAAGCCGAGTAACTCAGTGCATTTTCCATGCATTCATCAGTACTTCCCAAATAAAGGCAATACCTATGTGCGCTGTTTTTCTTTACTAAAGGCATCTATGGTTAAAATTTCAAAGAAATATCTCCATAAATAAGAATGGTGACATTGCGCAATCTGCGCATGCGTCATCTAATTTTTACTATAAGCGATGTTTGCCTTTAATAGAAGTGTCTACTTATTTAAAATTTCAACAAAATATATATTAATAAATAAGAAAGTTGATATTCGCGATTGAAGTTGTGACTGAACCATCAGTAAAATCTTGTCGAGGGCTACCATATTCCCTTTGTCGGTATCCACTTCCGACATCCCATTCACCCACATTTCGCGTTTGATGTTTTGACTCCACGTCTCCACCATCGGTAAGATCTTATCGGGGGCTATCACATTCTCTTTGTCGGTACACCTAGCGGTACACAGTTTCGAGATCTAAGACACTTTTGGGCGCCTAAAATCGACAATTCCTCGAAGCGTGTTGGTGGAAAAAGGTGGTTCATTTCGCCGCTAAGAAAACAACAAAATTCCGCCACGCAGGAGTTGTGCGTTGACAAGATCTTTCCGACGACACTTATTTGAAAACAATCGGAGAAAAACTGTAGAATAAGATAGAAAAAAACTGAAAAATCTCCAGGTTAGTATAACACGCTCGTGGATGGCGCCCAGATGTCGCCGACCCCACATCTTGTAGCTCCGTCCCTAAAGTGTTAATTGCACGGCTCCGATAGGTAGATGTACACTCCTCGTCTTTTTACAAGCGTTTTTCGACGGGCTCGCATTTACTGCCAGCCAGCCAGCCAGCCAAAGTGAGATTAAATAAATTTGCAAAAATGCGCTAAAAACTTAAGTACCTAGCTCTTCTTGTATATGCTTGCTGCGAAAATAAAATTTTTTAATCACTTATAATCTTGATGATTCTATTATTCCATTATTAAAACTCGTGCTGCATAGTGCAGTTTTTATACTCTATTAGTCATCTCGGTGGAACAATGGGTCATAAAAATTGAATTACTGCGACACAAATACTACCAATCGCAACGGCTATAAAATTTTTACCTGTATACTTAATGAAAAACAAATATTTGAATTTCCCGCCCAAAATATAGCTACTATTCTGACAGACACGCGAGGCCCTGCTGCTTCAACCATATGATCGAAATTTTCCTCACTAAAGTACTATAGATCCCATTGGTTGGTATATGTAAATTTTATTAATTATTTGTTAATTATAATTTTTAAAAAGTCGAATTGCTCTATATTTGCGCTTCCAGTTTCACAAGGTGATAACTGTCTCAATTTCAAAGTGGTCTTAGCTTTTTCCAAGTATTAACACGTGACTTTACAAATAGGAATAGTATCAAAGTTTATAAGTGTGCTGGGTGAGCGGGGTCTCTGCCGTCGCGTTTAGGTTATGGGTAATCAATGTCACTTTGTTCGGTGCATTTTTTAATTGTCTAAATCTGCCTGGATAGTGGATCCAACGTAAAATGTTCCTGATTATTAAGTATCACTAAAAACTGCCGGCCCGTGTGGGCCGGTTCAGTTGAAGCTGGGGCTTTTGTGGAAAAGCTCCAATCGAAATTGTATATAATCCTCTCATTTCAGGAATGATATATCGGAAGGGTACTCACACGAGAAAATAGAAGGCCTGAACGTATGTATATACAATCCGTGCGTTTGCGTACAAATACGTTTATACTTGTCGCGCGGGAAAACCTTCCTCACCTCGTTCCTTCTGTACTGATCACGTTTTCCATAGAGGAAATACAATATGCCTTTTCACTTGTTGTTGTGTTCCTTGAGTATAATTTGCTTCTTTTTGAGTCACTTAATTTGTTCTATTTACATATTAGTATTGTAATTTAAGATGTGACATGTCTTTTCTTTACGGTTCCGATTCCGATTTCGGTTCCGATAAACCAAATTTAAAAACTCCGCTTCAGAATTCGGTTCCGATATAACCACTTCCGTTACATCTCTAATGTGTTACGCCACTGGTTGTTATATCAACTTTGAAATTCAAAATAAGCATATAATTACCGTTTTAGGGACGAGTCGATGATTATTGTGAATATTTATTTTTATTTTGTACGGTAACTCAATAAATTATAAATATCATTTATGAGAAAGAAGTTTATACTGAAAGGTCATATATTAAGCACACATCTATTATAGTGAAACACAATTGTTATGTACAAGCCCCTGTGGCCTAATGGATAAGGCATCGGCCTCCTAAGCCGGGGACTGTGGGTTCGAGTCCCACCAGGGGTACACACTTTTTTTCATGCAAAAACCTTGCGGTTACCCTTCAGTCATTTAATTTTGCATATGTATGTACTAAATCCACTTGATAAATTCTTTTCTAACAAACACCTTCACAAGCCAAGCAGTGTTGTACGTGTCTAATGTGTCTAATTTAAGTAATAAGTCTGCGTAGCCGGAATACAAATACATAAGGCTACCGTTTACGTTATACTTATTTTAAGAAGATTTATGGTAAACAAATTCTCCGTTTGTTAGGAAATAGCAATAAAAACTCACTGAACTGTACCTATTGTGTAAGTAAAAGTAAACAATAGAGTGGGGACATTTATCATTAGGTACCTAGTTAATGAAGGAGGTAAAACTGTATACCACCTATTTAAAATAAAATGAATCTTTCGATAGTTTTTGTATGTGTTATACATATAAGGTAGGTACGTTCGAGGCCTTATTATTCAAATTTAATTTGTACTACTTCATGACAGTAAAGCTGTGCTATTTGGGACTCCAGCTGTGCACCAAGTAACAGAGCCAATCGATCATGCGGAAGGACCAATTTGGGATTGTAGAACTGGATTACTGTATTTCGTTGACATTTTTGAAGGGAGAGTTTTAAGTTACGATTATTTTACAAACGAATTGAATGCGGTACGTTTGTATGGTAACACAACGCCAGTGATTCCCTCGCATAGGGATCCTAATTTGTTTATTGTTGGTGTGGAAAGATCTTTATTCGCTATTAAGTGGGACGGTAAAGGTCAAATTGAAGCTAAGAAAAACCTAACGACAGTATCGCAGCAATTCCCAACTAGTAGAATTAATGATGGCAAAGCTGATCCAATGGGAAGAGTGTGGTTTGGTGAGTTGTTGATTCGATGTTTTGTTTGTACTCACTCATGTTATCTATTAAGAGTGTTAACATTTTAGTTGAATGTATGATAACAGCATTATGCTTTTAATTGCAGGTACAATGGGATTTGAAGGTCCAGCAGGCGTTACACCAAACGAAGGTGTTTTATATTTGGCCTCCAAACATACGTTGAACAATCCCGTACCTGTCATACATCCAGTCAATATCAGCAATGGGATGGCTTGGAACAGGGCGCTCAATAAATTTTATTACATTGATACACTTACCTTCACTGTAAGGGAATTTGATTATAACATTCGCAATGGCAACATTAGCAATCCAAGAGTGGTGTTTAATGTAACAGAGCACAAAAACTTGGGAGGATTTCCAGATGGAATGGCAATTGATAAAGATGATAATTTGTGGATCGCGTTATATTATGGAGGAGCAGTAATTAAAGTAAACCCAACTACACGTTGTGTGCTGCAAGTTGTGGCAATCCCGGCGCAGTGTGTCTCTTCGGTGGCGTGGGGTGGGCCAAATTTGGACGTTTTATTTGTAACTACATCCCGCCATGCTTTAAGTGCGGCTGATAGATTAATGCAACCTGCTGCTGGAAGTGTTTTTGCCGTTACTAATCTTGATACGCGTGGTATACGAGCATCTTTCGCTAACATTATAGATAAAATTGACTCTGATTAAATCAAATAGGTACTTGGTACATTGACTATCCCTTGTCATCATACAAAATAGAGTTATTTAATTAATTATCTTAGGTACCTAATGACATATATATCTTTTTGTTCTCTGGTTGAAATGGATTTCGTTTGGTTCGCCACTGATGCTGGAGTAGTGAAAGGGGTAGGAGGAATGAAAACGCTACATTTACCTTTTTTGGGACAATAGTTAATACCAGAGCGAGCTGGATACATTTATCCATATGGTTCAAAAATCAGTAATTGTCAGAGATAAAAGCGTCCGGTTGTTGTAAATTTGTAATCTGCAGAGTTGACTGATCCATACAGTCCCTCTGACCAAATCGACTATAGGCAATAGTCTGGTAAATACATTTTTGTTATAACTGGATGGAATTTTTAAGTATTTGATTTAATTGTGATATTTGAAAATGGTAACAATTTTTACATTTACAATTTATTTGTATATTGTTTACACCATATTACATTCTTTATTTCGTTTTTGTTTTTGAAATTACAAAAGCGAAGCTAATTCACCGCTCGGGGGCTAAGTCATACTATGCGGCCAGTAGGTAGGGGAAAAAAGCTAAATCTTGGGTTTTTTTTAGTAATACTTCATTGAATTTTTGTTCTAACTTTTGTCTCCTTCTTTGCCGCTCATTTTTTAGAAACTTCACGAAAACACTCCACTAATAAATGAGTAAAATTTCCTAAGCTAACACGTAATGACGAACACGATTGACGACACGGCATGTCGGAGTCGGACACGCTGGCGGCTGGCGCTGAAGCAAATCAAAACCAACATTTTCCATGGACCATGTGATTAATAACATAACGGCACCAATGCTGGAAAAAATGACCCGAAATTGGACTGACAGAATGCGTTTCGTCAGGGACAGCCGCGGTGGCCATATGCCTCAAATAATTTTTTGATCTTCCCAAATAAAACAGATTTTTTGTATCTATTATTTATTCAAATTTAAAATTCTGTCGGGCTTAAAAAAACACCCTATACACGGTGTCCATTTTTCGTGTGCTACTATGGGAATCTCGTTTACCTGAAGAGATAGAGAGTTGGTTAAATGGAGGCAAAGTTGCGAATTTTCGTGCTGAATAATAATCTGAAAAGAAATTAAAAATATATTTAGTAGTTTTGAAAATATCGCAAAAAAACATTATTCAGGCACTTTTTAATTTTTCGGGAAGTGTTTTGGAAAAACAAAACGTTCTTTTATCGTGAACAAAAGTTAGACAGTTCGATCCATCTGTCTGGTTGGAGCGTTGGCTGGGAACTAGTTGTGTTGAGATTTCATCTGAATAGAATTGAACCTTCGTTTTGTAAGAAAATCAATTCAAATTAGAACAAAATGCTTTCGCAATAATTCTAGCACAAACGTAAATTACACTACTTAAAGTAAGTCAACCTGTTGTGCACAACAAAAGAACGTTTTGTTTTTCCAAAGCACTCTTCGTAGAAAATGAAAATTGTAATTTTAGGAAAAATGTGTTGCTGAACCATACCATGTGTGATATATCGTTGTAAAGAGAAAAAAAGACGTAATCTCAAAATGTCAAAATCCAAAACGGCGCCCATAAGAAAAATTAAAGTTGCCACGTGTTTCTCCGTCATCCTAAAAGTTATTGAAAACGGGATGCCATATTCGAAATCTCCATTAAAAAGTGTCTGAATAATGTGTTAATTAGAAATGTCTAGAACGATTAGTTTACTATGAAAAAATTAAAAACGAAAATCAGACATTTTCTTTTTTTTGCAATATTTTCAAAACTATTGAAGATATTTTAAATTTCTTTTCAGATTATTATTCAACACGAAAATTCGCAACTGTGCCCTAATTTAACCAAATGTCTATCTCTTAAGATATGCGAGATCCCCATAGTGGCACCCGACAAATGGACACCGTGTATAATCAAAACAAGTGCTGGCACAAATTCAAATTCTTAACGCTTGCGGTTGTGGCGTTTGAGGGTGCAACACATCTGCAAGTTGACATAAGTGAGAAATGACATTTGGTAGGTACCACAGTGGCCTTGAGCGGACCCAAGGGGGGCCTTGAGCGAACTGTTCAGCAGAATCAGAAGCGCTACACCGCTACTTGTGAGCGGTTAGTCGCGATTCATACTATACGTACCGTCACCGCACCGTCAACGAAACGTCAAAATATTATTACATTGAAAGCTATCAGCTATGGACATATAGACCGGGAGATGGTGCCACGCCACTTTTTGTTGTGTGATTTGCTACAAGTATGGCCTTAGATCATATAGTATGGCGACCATTCAAAGGTAACTCTCTGGGAGTGGGGCCGTTATTGCGTGACGATTGTTTAAACATGTCGGAACATTTAATGATTTTGGACAATTTGCTACACAAAATTCTTTGGATTTTCTGGTAGTTGGTGCCTCGGTGACAAAACAAATGACGGAAATGAAATGCCATACTTTTCCGGTGGGCCTTATTAGCCCGCCATACTGATTTGAACGTGTCGATTGTTTCTTTTTTTTGGGTGCCATTTGCTACAAGCTCATTTTTCAAGTCCTCAATCAGTCATTCACGAAAACATAGTAACGAAAATCAACCTGCCATACCGCACCGACGGGCCCGGATAGCCGCCATACCCATACCGGCGCAAAGATGTCATTTTTGTTAATAAATTTGGTTTTGGCTTCAGTCTGGTGAACGCATAAAATATCGAATATCCTGCCTCATGAATAATCGACAAGCGACTAACGCGAAAATTTGTTTCAATGTTTATTATAATATTTAACGCAGTATGCGCGCCTAACTGACGCAACTCACATTACAACTCCGGTAGAACGTGGCCGTCCCGGCCCTTTGCCATCACATGGCCACAACATTGAACCCGATTGGCTACATATGATTCAGTCAAAAAGTATATCATCCTGGTATCAACAGTTTGAATTGGTGCTCTTCGTGAAAACGTATGCGTTCCAAATGTAAGGTTATGTTGACAGTGATAGAAAGTGAAACATTATTCCGGTAAAATGTCAACAGCCCTTTTAGCCGTCTTCGCCGTTATTTTATGTGTACTCTTTCGAGTATTTAACGTTAATAGTCAACCTCAGAGACCGTCCATTTGGTGTTCAGATCAAGATTTTCTAGATATTATTCTTAAGATCTCATCATCAATTTTACAGGAACCGTAAGTACTTTTTACTATTTTTTGTATAATACGATCTACGGAAGATCATTATCTTTTCCGGTAGAGTACGATAATGAATCAGACGAGAATTAGTAAATCGTAACCAGCAGCTTCTTTTTATGGCACGATAATTTTACTCTTGATGCTCGCATGTTTATTGTTATCGCCTATCGGCAGACGACAGTGAAAGTAATTGGGCAATTAAATAGTAACAAGGCATGAATGGAACTTTTTTTCATTCTTTAATTAAGAACATAATTGAGTAGGTAAATTGGCAACTGGCCACTTTTTATTAACTCGTTGAACGTTCCGAAACAAAAATTAATGTTTTGTACACAAAATTCCAATTTCCACTCCGGATACTGTTACACAATCATAAACGCGGTTAATCTACCTGCTTTAATGAAAACGTACCTAATCGAAAAGCCGGCCGTTTCCGGAAAGTTATAAGAAATTTGATTAGAAATGAACAAATTTTTATAAAACCGCAATTTACTTACGTACCTAGTAACTTTTTGTACAGCAACCGGACGAAATGTTGACTCGAGAATACGAGTTTATTAGCGTAACTGGCTATCAACAATTAACCTCGCAATTAACCTCTTACTTTTAAACGTAAAGTGCCCAGTTGAAATTTCGAAATCACCTGTTGGTTTGACAAAATTTTGT